GGTGGCCGTTATGGGATTGAGAAGGATAAACAGGACAAAGCAGCTCTGGGATATGACTACAAGGGAGAGACAGAGAAACACGAGTCCCAGAGAGGTGAGTTGGGGTTGGGAAGGGGAAGGTCACAGATTTAAGGTAAGGGAAGGACACTGGTGACTCTCCTTTTTTCTTTCTGGAAGCTGATTGGGGCCCCAGAATACAGAGGGGCAGATGTGCAAGAATTGTCCTTGGATAATTCTTTCAGTGACGTGTCTATGTGCTTATATGGAAGTAGAGAAAATGCCTACATTTCATGTATGTCCATGTCTTTGTTTTTTTTCTGAAAAATCTCTCCTTGACTCTCATACTCGCCCTTTCCTTGGAGAAGAAGGGAGAAAATTGAAATGATCTTCTTATCTTGGGATATAAGTGAGAGAGGAAAGGAACAGGAAGAGTAAGCAGTGCTCAATTAAAAGATGACTTGGGACAATGCTTCTCTTTTACTCACTTGTATTCTAGCCCTGCTCTGTTCCCAGGTCCTTGGCACCCTGCACCATTCCTCCTGACTTCCGTCTTCTCCAGCACTTCCCTGTGGGCTGGAGGATGAGGCTGGGCACTCATGATTGCTCCTTTAACCGTAGATTACTCTCATGGCTTTGGTGGCCGTTATGGGATTGAGAAGGATAGACAGGACAAAGCAGCTCTGGGATATGACTACAAGGGAGAGACAGAGAAACACGAGTCCCAGAGAGGTAAGTTGGGATTGGGAAGAGGAAGGTCACAGATTTAAGGTATGTGGACAGGGAAGGATGCTGGTTAGCACAGGGCTCTCCTTCCTTTCTGGAAGCTGACTGGGGCCCCAGAATACAGAGGGGCAGATGCACAGTACAGGTGGTGGAGTGGACAGCAAGTGCAGATGTGTGTACTGGGGGGTGGGGGTGAGGGGGTGAGGGGGTGAGGGGAGACCAGAAGAAAGAAACAACAGGTTTAAGATCAGGGCAGTGGAGGGAGGCCAACAAGAAGGGTCACTGAGGACGGGATGAAGACAGAGACTGGTGGTGGTCAGAGGGTGGCTTGGCTCTGAGTCTTATGCGCCCTCTCCCTCACAGAGGAAAGAGAGGCTTATGGCTTCCCTGGGGCATGTGGAGATGGCTGGAGGACTCTCCTGACTTTTTCCCATTTCTTCTTTTACATGTCCCCTTGTCTGTCACCTCTCTTTTTGTGTCCCTCTTTCCATCTCTCTCTTCTCTATTCTCTCCCATCTTCTTTTTCTCCACATCATGTTTCTTCTCTTCCCATCCATGCCTTGGTTTACACTCTGATTGCCATATTTCCTCCTACACCTCTTTATATTTCTGTCTCGTGGTCTCTCTTCCATATATCTCTGTCTTGTGGTCTTTCTTCCCACTGATCCTTCTCCATACCCATTCCTAGCATTTTAATCTGTTATGACTCTCAGAACTTTCCATCCTACAGATTATGCCAAGGGCTTTGGTGGCCAGTATGGGATTCAGAAGGATCGAATGGATAAGGTAAAGCACCAGAACACGGGTGTCTTGAGAAGAATGCCCTGAGCTGAGGGCAGTGCACGGACAAAAGTGAAAGACGGGAGAAGTGGAGAAGGAAGGGACAGTGGTCGTGGGTGTAAGCCAGTCCTGATGGTGTCCTGCACTCCCCCTTGACTGCCCGCATCTAATGAACTTTAACTGAGGAGAGTAGAGGGGGGAAGAGAGAGAGAGAGAGAGCAAGAGAGCAAGAGCCCAGGGAAAGGTGACGTTAGACTTAAAATTTCATTGGTTGTCATTACTTAACCTGACCTCTGTCTCTTCTTGCTCCATGTCCCTGTCCTCCCCTGCACTGGTTCCTACTCAGGCCTTGGCCAGGGTCCCTGCTGTAGGCCGGGCAACTGGGGTTGGAGGCATCAGA